AACTTCCCAACCCAACTCCATAATCTTGTGTTGTGTCCAACGTGCCACATGTGGACGTGCATTGTCGTGGAGAAGAAAAATACCTTTTCATTTGACGAGTGAAGGGTGTTTCTGATGAAGGGCTTGATTTAAACGTTACAGTTGCTGACTATAGATCTCTACATTGACAGTTCGCTGAGGATTGAGGAGTTCGAAATGAATTATTCCTTTGGTGTCCCACCAAATGCAAAGCATCACTTTCTGCGGATGGAGTCCAGGTTTTGGGATCGAAAGTGGTTTATGTCTGGGACTGAGCAATTATTTTTGGCGTTTAATATTCACATACAGAATCCGTCAAAAAATTCTGTCCAAAAATTGTTCACGCGCATTACACGCCAGAAGGGATGAAGCAAGGTTCATACGTTGGAAACGATGATCATCGGAGAGTTCGTGAGGCACCCAAACACCTTCTTTATGGGGTTTTCCCATATTCCTTACACACAGGTATATTTTTAATTATACAAATCCTCTCTTATAAGTTCCTTTCTATGTTTGTTTCTACATTTCTTGAGTTCTTTACATTTTTCCAGTCAAAATTACCATCACAGTTCCAGAAATGTTCAACTACAGCAGAGGACATAGTGTTACCATGTCATATTTGTGTTCTTTCAATCTCGTTTTTAATTTACTGCTTTTTTTGTCCTAGGTACATTTTAACCACAACTGCAACTGATTTGGTAAATTCCATCTTTATCATCAGTCTTTTTTGGATCTTTGAGTGTTTGTAAATGGTTGACAATTTTATTTTGTGGAAATAATGCTGCTTTGTAGCGTTTTAATCGGAAACCTTTAGCAATGTTTTCCAAAATTCGAGGAAATAATGGTATACTAAAGAACTTATTTTGAGATGTTTTTAATGGAGTTAATTTAGAGTATTTCATTTGTCATTCATTTTAGAGTCATATTTGCTATCTACTGCTACTGCTTTTAAATACATTTTTTCTTTGTTTATATCTGTAATATTAGAACACATATTAATAGCAAGTCAAACATAAGTGTACAAAGCGCTTAGTTTCGACTTAAAGGGTGGTTATAATTTTGTGTTGGTATGGTGACAGTATGCTCTAAGTCTTAAAATGGTATTCAGTGGAATGTCTATCAGTTTTTGAAATTAACATATCACAATCCGAAAAATAATTATGTCACAAGAATTCTACCTTTCACTCTAGAAAAAAAAACTATTGATATAAACTTCTGAACCAAATTATCATATTACAACTACACACATATACCACAAAAATTAGGGCTTAATTCAACAAAATCAATGGTAAACCAAAACACACATACATCTTCAAACTGTGTGTGAACAAATTAAAACATGTACAGAAAATAATTCATAAATTCTGATAACATACGTATAGATATTGATAAACTTCTACACTAAAAAACATTAAACGTAGTTTATAAAAAATGAAATAAGAGACGTTTAAAGTGTGTTTTAAAGCTGAATAGAAAATATATTCGTCTGTTTTACACCCACCTAAAGAAGCATATATTTCACTAAAAGCTGTAAGATGGTCTCTCAACTCCAAAGCTGTGGACATTGCTAATAATAAACGGCTTTTTCTTCCTGCTGGTCCCACCTTAACAGATAATATAAAAGTAAGTCACTAATATACCAGTTAGAACCTTGCTAATCCTATCATATTAACAATTCCTTGAATAATCAGTAAAGGTAAAGATAAATACAGAAGTTACGTACAGGAAGTAGATGGCAATGTTTTGTCAAGAAATAAGATAAGATAATTTTAACAAACCTTTTTTAATTTCATCTTTATATAACAACATATTTTCTGGAGCCTCATCAGATTGTTACAGTCCGTGTCAGTCATGTTCTATCTGACTACTGTGCAGTACAGTTTCCATAGCAGAAGGCTCCATCATAAAGATGTCATGTAACAAGCACACTCCTCTTCCCTGTTGGCTTTCCATAATCTCTCTACTGTACGAGGCTGACAGTTGTCAAACACCTATATCTACAATGTAATTGCACAGAAACCCATAGGTAAATAATGACTAATTTTATGTCCATGATAACCTTGTTCTCCTCCACCCCTAATAAGTGAAACATGCTGTTAAATTTATTGTCCATATGTACAGTTAAGATACACCATGTGTTGGATTACCTTGATGAAGATGTGTACATTCTGTTGACCTCCACATGCATGACTCTCTGTATATAGTTGTGTTTGTATAAAAATCATGAACTCTATCCCCAAAACTTTACAAGTATAACTCCTGTTAACCTAATAGTAAGCTTACTAGTCACTGTTAAGTTTTGTAGTTTCTAATTTTTCATCAACAAAAACTCATTAGTTTTAGTAGTTCTGTGAAAATCTGTTGGGAGAAACCCACGGAATGGTAATAATGGTATTTTCAGCTTGTTACAGGTTTCATACAATGTTGTATGTATGAAACATTTTCATATACAATAGCTTAAGACTAAACTTAATCCTGAAGATATCTATCATATTAAATGAAGAGTAATTCAAAATGTCTTCAAAAAATGTTTATACAATATGTATATTCTCCATACCTAAGCTTTTCGGTCTTTAAATTAAATTCCATGTTAGCTCAATTTTCTTAAGTTACTACCACTAATTATAGATCATGATTATAATATCAAACAATTACACATTCAATAGCTCCAATATTAACATAATATTTCTATGTAATTATCTTACAAATTTAGCTCCTAACTCAATCATATAACTTTCATCTTTTTTTTCGGATTTAAACTCCACATACCATGCAATTTATTCAAGCAAGCCAATACACAACAAAATATTTCAACTGTAATTTTACATAGAAAGCGCCACCTTCATTTTTACCTCTGCTACTTTAATAAATCGTCCCCTTCTGTTCTGTTTGACATCAAGATAAAATCTTTTAGACTGTATCTGAAGAACTTTAGTTGCTAATTCCTGTTCTGGTGGTGGTAGTAGCTGCCCTACAAAAAATCCATGTAAAAGTACTGTCATTAGGCTTTTTTTTTGTTAACAATAGCGAAGCACACAAATAAACTCACTGTAACTCAGTGACTGACTTGGAATAACTAACATCTGATACAGGCTTTCCAATTTTATATCATGTAAATAGTGACCCACAATGTTCATAATTATATTCTTCATTTTTTAATTCTAACTTGTATCATTATTAATTATTTTATGTGATACTACTAATATAATTATGATTACTACTATTTAATTTTTTACCTTAATTAAAAAGTATTTCCATTAAACTAACTATATGTATATTGTTGCGTATCTGCTTGTTTGTTACTTTCCGGTAGAAATTCTTTCCAAGGAACATCAGCAATACAAGTCCTTTCTTGATTAAACCAGTTTATTCTTTCTCGATAGAATTTTTAGTACACAGTAATTCCACAGTCAGTACGTTTCTCGTCACTTTCAACTTGTCTACTTTTATAATACACGCTATAAATCACAGCGATTCACAATCTCGATAATTTTGCTCTCTACGAGTGCAAAACACACACTAGCTCGAAATAGAATCGTAAATTACCCGAAACTTACGGTGACTACTGTTCGCTTTATCATCCCCTGGCTTTTCTCTGCTAGGCTTATATACTAACGAAGAGGCATTTCCAAAATTCGCGAACTTGGTCGATAATTCGAGAAACTGAATCACGCATGCGCCAGCAGCGTCACGTGACTTCCGCTGTCGTAACAATATTTAGTATTAATTTCTGAACAGCCTAAGTTAAGCTTAGTGAAATAACTATATCCTATGGTGACACTGGAAACGTATATTTCCAAATATATATATATATATTATATTAAACACTATAATACATCTATAAAAAAACCAATACGCATAAAATTTGTGATAATAAATTATGCAAGCTGCAGATTTTTTTCCACATTTCTTATAATTTGTTCGTCTTTGATTTAAAATGTACAAATTAAGAAGAATGTGAAAAAATATCAATAGTTTACATGACTTTATCACCAATTTTCAGGCCTACTGGTTTCTATGTTTCACCTGCTTTCAGCATTTAAACTGTAAAGTGAAACAGATTTTACGAGTAACTTTTGTGGTAAAGAAATAAGATGATACAACACAAATAAAAGCAATCAGAGAGACTTCATGCTTTTGCTCCGACACTCCTTTTCAAGATTGCATGTTTTTATATAGGATAACGTCAAATTTCACCTTCGAAAACTCAAAGAATTCTTCTCAGATCCAGAATAGTCAACGATCTGGGTCTTTTTTTTTTTTTTTGTAGTGTGATGAGGACGTCCCAACCTGAATGTGCCCGTGAAATTTGGTACAAATCCGATCACACTTTACGGAGTTACTAACCCAAAACCGCGAAAATACCCTATCTTACCATTATAAAAACGCTTAAAAGTGATCCAGAATACGTATCCGGATTTGGATGCAAACTAAATTTTGGGGGGGGGGGGAACTGTCCTATAATAGCTTCCCATCTTCTGTAAAATTTTCGTGTACATCGATGTATTACTTTTTGAGACATGCGCGCGGAAATACAGACAAACATACACACACACTTGGATCCGATTGCTATACTCTCGTCCCCTAGGGGTGGGATGAGGGTAAATAGTGAACCAGGCTAAAAAAAAAAGATAGAACGGTAATAAATTTCATGATAATTTCTAACAAGAATACAGATAATAAACATTGTACAATTTTCACATCAGAAGTGCAGAATAATACAAGTTAGATGGTGAACGAATAATAAAAGACTGCATGTATGAAGGAATTTTGAAAAGCCCCCCTCTTTTTTTTATAGAGGCGATTTTTAAAGCGAACTTATCACAAATTGTATTGAATAAAAGAGTAGAGAAGAAGAATTTGTCTTGTCAATAGTGTTGTAAAGTAATTTAATCAGTCTGTGTGTGCTTTGCCGAAGAAGAGATAATTACTTAAAGCTATGGATACAACTGTGGTAACCAGCAGTTAAATGGTCATCTTAAACTGAGATTATCACATTCGTCTTGACAAATTCTGTTCTAAAGAAACTGAAACAGCCTCTGTAAACTTTCACGAAAAAGGTACATCTATTTAAAGCTCTGGATACAAATGTGATAAGTAGCAGTGTGACGAACATTTGTATTCACGTTTGACAAGTGGACTGTGTTGCTGTTTGTTTATTGTTGAAATTTATCGCCAACAAGACACCTGACAATCAATAAGGTAAAACTGAGTTTAGAACCTTGGGTAAACTGTTGTATAAAGTGGTAGCAGATTGGGTACACCCAAATTTCACATAGAAGGTTGTGTCACAAAGGTAATTATTTAACCAGAATATAAAATGACCTCTATAACCAATTGAATAATGTTTCATAATAAGCCCTCAACCTATAGCAATAGCAACTACCTTGTTGACAAGAGAAATTGAGACAGATGCTTGGAGTTGTACTAAGCAGTTCATGACACTTTGAGCTCGATAAAATCCATTCTGTTTGGGAGTAATATGATTAATACAGCCAAAAGACTTGTTGAGGCAAGTATTTATCATATGTTCAAAAATTTTGGCTACACATGATGACAGAGGTTAAGCAATTTGAAGAAAAGCTCAGGATACTAGAAGATTTAGGAATGAATGCTACTTCTGTACACTTCCAAGATTGGTGGCATAGGACAGAGATCCAGTTATTGTTGTAAACTGCCAGTAGATATGCGACTTAATTATGAAAGTAGGTGACTGAATCCACACCAGAGCTAGTGCCTTTGAGTGTGAGAGTTCAATCAAGGAATTAAGTGTATATAACAAGCCAAGAGTGTTTCCTCCAAGTTCTGTGTTGGTTAGCAGTACCTCAGCATGAGAAAGGAGGGGGTCGAGGAGGTTAACACCCATTTTTTCGATGTAAAAAAAACATTATATAGTTATAGCACAACTTCTTATGACATTTAACATTTTCTGCGTGGTCTACATTCTTCTGATGAAGCATTGGCATTTTTTGGCTTGAAATAATCAGATAACATAGTCAGAGCCCCGTAGCATTAGCCTGCTTTGCATTCTCAGTATGCTTCGTACAATAGTTGTTGGCTTCTGATCTCACAAATTAGAACTCCCCTTTCAAACATTCTGTGTACTGGCATGAGTACACTATTTTTTTAGGAACAGAAGGTTGCATAAGCCTCATATTTGTCCTGAGAGGTGAGCATGAAATCCAAGCCTTATTTGAAGGAACAGTTTGTACATGGTGGAAGCAATAATATATATGTATTACATCCGAGAATCTTTAGTGAGTGAAGAACATAAATTTCACCAACTTGTCTGGTACTTGGAACGACAAATGTCACATTTAACTTTAACAGAGTCAATATGGTAATATAGTCAATTAATCTGATTAAAATGATGTTTTAAACAATGATAGCTTCTTTGTCAAAGTGCAATAAATATACTGTACTCAGCATTCCACTAAGATCCTTTACACCAAAAAAATGCAGGCAGAGTAGTATGAACGTGGAATCAGACAAACAGCTTGGATAAAAGTTGCACCAAATGTTCTAACAAGACCAGTTTCCACAGCAATACTCTGGAGAACAGAATCAAAAACAGCAGAATAGTCTGACCAATCTATGTTAGACGAGCAGTGAAAGAGATAAAAGCGATTACTGGACAATGGTCACCTCCAAAATTATCTGGATGAACATTCCAAGTGCACTTGCCACTGAAAGAGGTGGAGATTATAGTCAGATTAAGCACCGATTTCCTTCCTCGAGGAAATATTCTAAATGCTGACCATTAGAATCAGTAGGGGTTGAACCCTAAAGAGAGTGGTGTGTATTGAAGTCCCCACAAATCAAAAGGGGTTATCACACACAGAGGTCAATGTATTCATGTTCACATGAGTAAAACTGGTGAAGAGATTATAAAAATTAATGACAGAGAAAGAAATAGATTTCCAAAAGACAGGGATACCCAAAACCTCCAAGGAGGACAAATCTTAAAGTTGAATCAACTTTCAAAGAGCTACCACAGTTCAATAGTCCATGACCTCTAAAGAACTCCTTTCCTGGACAACTTTCGAACTTCGATGATCGAGCTGATGGGTATCACTGCTGACAAAACCTTTGCAAACTAAAGTTGGTTACACTTACTACGCCAGGGACCTTCAGAGAGAGAAGCAAAACGACCCCTAGACGTCGGGCAGAAGGGTCCACTGAGGATACGAAGGACACCCCTATCTGAGAATAAAACAACAGAGGATTTGTGACATTTTTCCCCACCACTCTTAGGGCTCCCACAAGGCATAGCTGGAGAGTCTCAAAACACAAGCGTATTATGGCAAGTATGGGGATCTGAATTCTTAAGGTCCATTTTTGAAATTCGAAAGTTAATATGACAGACACAAGATAGTTAAGTTCAAGCTATAGGGGTAAGGTAAGTCCTGAAATAAACAGGGTGCCTTGTTAATAAAGTCACTTATAGATACCTAAATCTAACATTAGTTGAGAAAAAAAACTAAAACTAAGAAGAAGAAGAAAGAAAGAATGTTTTGATCACCGACTAGATGAGTCATTGAGATCTACCTGATTGTAATCAGGACTTAGCATGCCCTGAACGATAAGGTTTAGCTTGACAAACCGAGACCTTGAATAAAACAAGAAAAATGTCCTCTATCTCACACGCATTACTGACCTTGACCTTTCCAAATTCAATAAGTTGAATCCGGGGGGTTTCTATACTCTAGAATAACTTTTATGAGTCCCCCAGTGGCACAGCGGTATGTCTGTGGACTTATAACGTTAGAAACCGGGTTTTGATACCCGTGGTAGGCAGAGCACAGATAGCTCATTGTGTAGCTTTGTGCTTAATTAAAAAACAAACAAACTTTTATGAACTTTCTGGACCTTAACGTCACGCGCCCTCTAGCTAGCATCCAAATTAAAACACTGAAAATATAGCTTAAAATAGTATATTACTCATCAGGTGCTGATATGGTTGTTTAGGAA